GCAGCTGAGCAGAGGGCAGCTTTTCCCTTCCTTTGTTCCAAACTGCTGGAGGATGAGTTGCAGAGCGGAGCAGCCCCTTTGGCATCCAGGATGAAGGATTAGGGTGCCTCCTGGTGCCCCTTAGAGGGGCGGGTGGGAGGTCCCAATGGCCGGCAGCCATGCCAGGGTGGGCAACGGGCTGCATGGCTTCCCTCTGCGCAGCTGCTGGGACCAGGCGGGCTTGCAGGGGACGTCTCTTGGCTGCCCTGGAGGGGCGTTGCTGGGAAGAGGCACCTTTCCGGCGGCTGGGAGCCTGCGTGCTCCGTGGGGACTCTGGCGCTTTTCCACCTTCTGTGACTGTGCGGAGGTTGGCAGCTTGCTGTCACTCATCAAATCTGGGAAAGCATTTGAATGCGGTTGATCTTTTATTACTTCAAGACACTGAAGAGACGGCTTCTGCTTGGTCAGAAAGGGGACCTGCTGAGGTTTTGCCAGCCTCCTGTGTCTATGTTGGGGCCCAGTGGGAATCAGAGCAGCGCCCCTGAGCCGGCTGGGGTGGAGCTGGAAGCTTTATGTGGCACTCCTGGGGCCTGAGGGGGCCCTAGGCAGATTTCAGTGTCACCTCCACTGGAAAATGGTCGCTCACAGCCAAGGCCTGCCAGGGAGAGCAGAGGAGGAAAACAGTGTCAGAACAGGAGCCAAATCCCCAGTTTCTAAGGCAGAGGAGGGGCGCTCTGGATCAGGAACAGTGCTGCCACGTGCAGTGTGGTATAACAACAGGCAGCAGGGCACAGACAAGGAAGCAAGACTTCCATAATGTGTTTCCAATGCAAGGATGAGGTGTGAAGAACAGAACCTCCAGCCCTCAGAGCACAGGTGCCATGACCCAAAAGCAGCGTCCCCTGGCCTCAATCCCCTTCAACTCACAAAAGTGAGTTTTTTCCTGGAATAATCATGTTGGAAGGGTCAGCTTTGGTCAGAGAAGGTGGACAGAGAGGCCCGTGGGCCGTGTTCCAGGAGGGAGGCAGTCCTCATGTTAAGGGAACCCCTTGGAGTTTGGGGGCGCAACCTCTGGTCCTGGCCCTGGCCCCAGCCCAGATGTTTCACCCTTCCTTTCTTCTCTCCCACGGAGGGGCCAAAGGGATGCTCACATCCTTGGAGCTCAAGCCGAAGGTCTTCTGGAAGTTGTCCACCTTGGCCGTTCCAGGCAGGATGCTCCCTTTCAGCTTGGTGCCCGCTGCCACAATCCTGCACGGGATACCGTTGGAGAAAGACCACAAGAAGCAGGGGGTGACTGGAAGCTCAGGGGGAGCAGAAAGCTTTGAGAAGGGGGACTGATTCGGGAACAAGAGGAAGGCCTTCTTTATACATTTGCTAACACAGGATGAAGCGATGGGAGAAGATTTTAAAACGGGAGCGCGCTAATTAATGGGGAAGGAGCTGCTCGTCGATGACCAGTCCGAGCGAGAGCATATTCCTTCTGCGACCTGTGCCTGGGAGACAGCTGCTCTGATGCTGCTCCTGGCCTTCCCGCAGAGGCCTCCAATTAGTGCTTGGTGGGCACAGGCCCTGGGTCTGGCCCAGCCATTGCCAGGTGGCGAGTTACTGAAGGCAGACGTTGCCTGGGTAGGAGGCTACACGGAAAGAGGGCCTCCCACTGCCCACCCCTAGGAAGTGGTCCAGCTGGACAGCCTGTGGGCCACCGCTGCTGCCTCCTGCCACCCACCTGTCATAGGCACAGGCCGTGTTTGTCACCGTGGTGTCTGCCGTGTCCGGAATGAGCCACTGGAAGTCCTTGCTGGTGCGCAGGCGGATGGAGGGCCAGTCCTCAGTCTGGACATAGCTGCAGCCGGCATTGAAGTCTCCCAGGAAGAGGGCATCCTGCCAGGGGGAAGAGCAGGAAGCCCCGGCCAGCGCCGGATTGAGCCCCTGGACAAGGGGCTACTGTCCCCCATCTGCCAGTGGCCCACAAGAGAAAGGCGGAGGAGGCCCTTCAGCCCGCTCCAACAGAGGGGCTTACCGTGGCCCCCAACTTGGCTTTCACCGCCAGGTAGACGTCAAAGAGAGCGTCGATCTCAGTCACCGCACGTTCAGGAGCCGCATGCAGGGGCACGAGGATCAGCTCTTTCACCGCTGGGTTGGGGGGCAGACAGAGAGGCCTGGCTTGTGGGGACCCTGGCTGAGCCTAACGTGTCCCCTTCCCAGCTCCCAGGGGCTTCCTGTGGACCTCCCGCCTCTTTCTGGGCCCTGGCAGGGCCGCCACTCCCCCCAAAAGCTGCTTGGCCTGCGTTTGGGGGGGGTGCCCTGCACCGGCCTTTGCTCCTTGCTGTACTGTATGGTACCAAGACGCCGGCTGCCGCCTCTTCTGCCACCGGAGCTCGAGAAGCCCAGCAGGAACACAGGGGCGGCTTACCTGTCTGAGGGGCAGCAAATCTGACAACGAAGGGCTCCCTGCTGAAGGTATCGTTGCCACAGGGCTCACAGCCATCGTTGTAATAGTAGCTCTCCACCGGGGAGACCCTGTCCTGCCTGGGCCAAGAGAATTAGCAGCCACCAGTTTCTCCCCCTCCGGTGGCTCTGTCCCCCATCTCTAGAAGATCAGCCCCGTGGAAGCTGGAGGGGCGGATGGGGAAGAGTGAGGAGGAGGGGGCCTCCCAAGGGCCAGGAAGGGCTGTGTTTTATGGTCAGAGGGGAGCAGATGACTAAGAGGCTCCAGAGGGCAGAGAAGACAGGAGGGAGTGTATTTATTTCATTGATCTCCCACCTTTCCAACAAGAACACCCAAAGAAGTTAAGAGCAAACAAATAAAGCAATTATTATATACAAGACATAACAACAGCAACAAAGGACTTCAAAGCTTGGGGGGGGGGTGTTGTGCATCAAGAACTCCCAACACTGGAAAGGGGTGCATTTGCGTTTTTTAATTTTGCTGAATTTTGTATTGCGTGTAACATGTCGCAAATGCACAGAATAACGAGCAGTTCACTGAAGGCACAAAGGAGGCCAGAAACCAACTGGGGATTAAGGTCATTAGATAAGACTGGCAACAGATTGCAGCCTTTTAGGATCTCTCTGGCAGCTCCCTGGATGCTCTGCTTCCACCTGGGCCCCACCTGAGGCCTCACCTGTAAATGAAGAGGTACCGCTCCTTGTAGCTGTTGCGGCCCAGAGGCTTGCTGACCAGGTAGCTGTAGGGATCCGGGGATGCCCTGGAAAGACAACGGAGGTGCCGATATGGCTGGCTCATCTCCCGAAAGAGCTGCAGTCCCACCGGGCCGGGGAAAGTCTGTACTTCCTCAAGGACATCCCAGCAGAAAAATCCCTCTGCTAGGAAGATTAGCGTTTGCCAGGACTTTGCCCTCCTTCCCTGTGCTTACGCAGTGGGGGCTCCACAAGTTGGTTTGCTTTGCCTCTCAAAGGGGCTTCATCCCCAGCAACCATGAAACCTACCAATTGACCTGGTTCATCAGCTTCTTGACGGCGCTCAGGTCAGCATCTCGGACTTCCTGGATGAGGGTGAGGTCGTAAGTGGTCAGTATCTGGAGAGACAAAGCAGAGGGAGCCCCGTTTGTTTGGAGTGCCCAAGTGCAGACAGATCTGGGTCAGCATGGCCGAGAGAGACTGATCTCGTGCGCTCGGAGGCAGTGGGATCCCCGCGTGAGGAAAGCTGCACCCAGGCCATAAATGGGCCAGAGCCACTTCCGAAGGCACTGGAGAGCAGGGCGGACCGGGGTGCCAGACTGGCGTCTCCCCAGGTACAGCCAAAGGACTCACTCGGACAATGAAGCTGGAGATGGTCTGGTTGGAGAGCTTTTTGTCCCCAAAGGCCCTGATGTTGAAAGCGCCAATTCTCAGGGAGAAGGCGAGCTGCAGGAGGGAGGCCACCAGCAAGAGGATCTTCATGGTCCTTGCCCTGTAGAAGAGAAGGAAGCAAGGAGGGTGCGGCACCTGCACCCCCAGGGAGCAGCCGGGTCCTCTCTTATTCTAGGCCTTGCGCTCTCTGCCATTCCACTCCAGCGCAACCAGGAAGCATTTCGGGTGCATTGATAAATCATCACACAAATAGTGTGAAAACGAAACTTGGCACAGCAGAGTCAAATGCATATGGTGGCGTCAACTTTCTGCAGAACGTGCACTTGTCCATCAGTCCAGTGCAAGGGGAGCCTTGATTTGCTCGTAAACCTACAACGGGGGTGTTTGCAACACTTGGTATCTTCATACGTCCACAAATACGACAGAAATGTTGCAAATTGCAGGAGGTGGCACTTCATCGGAATTTGGAAGCTTACAAGTGGGGCAAGAGAGGGCACTTCACCACTCCTGGGGAAAGTCAGAGGAGAATTTGGAAGGCTTTTGCTTGGTTCACTGGCAGAGGCGGGTGCCTCAGGGGCTTGGGGGTTCGCGGGCATCTCAGCCAGGCAGCGAATGAGCTCCGCAGCAAGCTGAGAAACGTGCCCTTCCCTCCGGACAGGGCTCTGGACAGACGATGCACGGCTGGGAACTCCTGAAGGCCGCACAGCTGCATCCAGCTGTTAGGGCAGTCTTCACGCCAGCCAGGTGGGGCAGAGAGAGGCAACCGGGCGAAAGCAGCGGAGCCACCCCTTCTGGCGCACCGAGAGCTGGGGGGCAAAAGGACCAAACCCGAGGGGCAGCAAAGGGCTACTGTGGAGGGGCTCAGCATCCGTGCCTGGGAGCCTGCGCTCTGCCCGCGGAGTCCTCTTCCTTCCTTCTCTAGCTCCCCCACAGCCTGAGCGGCCTCCTGTTTTCTGCCTTGTGTGACTGACCATCCTTACCGAGAGATGCCTGCCTCAGACGCTTCCCTGTCAAAGTCTCCTTCCCTCAGGGGAAGGGGGTGGGCGGGGGCCAGGGGAGTTGGGTCCTGCTTCTCCGGCTGACCTCGGGGCCACCCTTGTCCTTGCAAGCAGCATGCAAAAGGAGGGGAAGATGGGAGGCCGTCCCACCCTGGTAGCTGGCCTCAGGAGGCGGGTGGTGAGTCTGAGCGGACACGTCCTGCTCCCTCTCTCCAGCCAAACACGAGGGCCAGAAAGATCCAGTGGATCTCATCCGCAGCACTGGGGTCCCCTGGTCAGCCGAAGGGGGGCCGAGAACCCCGAAATCTGTTCCAGGAGGGACAGGCCTGGCTCCTTACCTGCGCAGGTCCAGCCCCACTAGTGGGGTAGCAGGTTTTCCGGCCCCCTTAAAATAGGCTGGACCCTTGACCTTGGCAGCTGTTTATTCTGCTTCTTATCTGAGCAGGTGCTGACTGGCAGAGGGGTAATTTCTGCCAAGGGAGGATCACGTTCGTGAGGCTGGCGTTAACAGGAGGCAGAGGGCTGGCGCTGATGAGCTGATACAAAAGAGTGAGAACCCCCGAAAGGGGTGCCGTGGCTCTGCCCTCACCGGGTGACTCCGGGCCACTTGTTCGCTCTCGGCTGGACCACCTCACAGGATCGTTGTTGGGAGAGAGATCTGACAGAGCCGCCTCCCCGTTCCTCCGCTGGCACCTGCTTGGCTCGCCCCCCGGGCCCTCCAGGGCTCTCCCCCCGCCGCAGCTCCGGGTCAAAGCCCCCTTATCGGGGCCTTGAAGCGCACCTGCCCGGCTTCTCA